ACACACACACACACCCACACACACACACACACATACATATATACATATATATATATATATATATATATATATATATATATATATATATATATATATATATATATATATATATATATATATAGTGCGAGTTTCACCTTTTGCTTATTTTTTTTTTCGTGCAAGTATCTGACCTCTTGAGGCATGCTTGTGTGTATTTCTGTGTGTTGGTGTTTTATACATGAACAAAGTGTATTATTTTCGGGAGGCCCGCAACGTGTTAAAGCGCGTACCGAAAGACCAAATAACGTGCATCCATCCAGGGGGGATGGGAGCACGGACCCCTAGACCACCTGCCTGGCTACCTATATACTGCTGATAATCATAACAATGAATGAATGAATTAAAAAAATAACGCGGAATCTCCTCCAGCAGCTGTGATGCGTAAGCGGGAAGTTTTATCGCAGGCTGCAGCTTTCTCTATCTCAGAGCGTTGTTTTAGGACAGCATAGAACTGTGCCATGCCGTCCTTTGATAGCGTCATGGAATGGCGCCCCAATACACTAGCAGCGCTTCGCGACTACCAAAACGTGTATTTGGCACGTTTTCGCAACGTACAGGCCTTCCTGACGTCCACAACGCTCCATGTCAGCATGACGTCTTGCACTACATACATATAGAGATTTCGACTGCGTAACAGCGTAAGCATTTCTACGCCGACTCTACGCCAAAACTGCCTGTCTGTCCACTCCTTTTTTATGCGAGATCGAGCATCACTGTTCGTGTAGGAATGTATAGGATGACGAAATGGTTAAGCTAGGTCCTAAGGTGCATAATGCCTACGTTTAAGTCCCTATTATAAAGAACGGATGGATCAACGGACTGGTGGACGGACGCATGGACAGGCGGATGCCGCAGGTGGACTTTTTACAGCTGTGTAGCAGGTGTTGTGACGCGGGTGTGGACGCCCGGATGTCGCTGGACGCCGGGCAATTAAGGCTAACTTCTCAGGAGTTTCCCTCGTAAAACTTGGATGTCAGTTGAGCCTCGCCTTCGAGAGTATAAAACACGAAATCGCAGTCGGACCGTGTTCGCATCGACATCTCAATCGCCAGCCTCAACTCGGTTCAGTTCTCGGTGGAGCTAAACCGTGTCCACGTCGTGCCGCTAGGCGAATAACGTTTTCGCACGTGTCGATTGGCCCTTTCGAACTATCCTCGGTTACGTGGTTAAATGGCCTTTCTGTAGCCGCTTAGTTTTCCGGGTTTCGTTGATATAACAGGAGCAGAGAGGCGAATAAGAAAATCTAGAAGCTCAAAATGCCGTATAGAAACGGTTCAGTCTTTCCATATCATCGTATTTCGCTCCCATTCCCCACCTGTTACATACCCATGCTCCGACGCGTAAACTGAAGCTGTATCACAATATGAGCAACGTCCTCCTAACCACGTGCAATGTGTCTTCAAAAGCAACCTTGCGGCAACGAAGAAAAAGCAAAAAAAAAAAAAAGTCCCGACCTGGCTTCGCGCACGCACTCCGTCCGATCGGTTCTGTATCTTCGTTCTTTGTTATGCTCCATTTTATCTCCTTTCAGTATTTTACACATTCCATACAGGTAAACTCTCGCACGAAGAGAGCAAAGGAGAGAGAGAAAGACAGTACTGGGGCACAGCGTTTTCTTATACGCATTGCGTCAGCAGCCGCTTGCTGTGTATTGTAAACACGCAGCGCGTACGAATTGAGCTGTCACCCGTTACATGCCGCAGAAATGCGGAGGCAGCTGCTGCGATCGGCGGGCGCCCATGGACGAGTGCGCTACGGACGAGGAGTTTGAGCCGCTATTGTTCGCGCACCGCAACGACGAGTCACTGAATCCAGGCTTCAAGGTGCAGTTTGTATAGGCACGTATACGCGTAAGAAAATGTTCTGTAAAAATTTATATCGACAAATCGCGTGTGTTCCAGAGAGAAGACACTCTATACGTAGAGCCACGAAGAAATATAGAGCCGAATGATATGCGATCGGAGATATGCTGAGTAATGCGTTGCTGTCTGTTGACCGTTGGTCGTTTGCCTCCGTGGTTCCTGCCATGTAGCCGGTGTATCGTGTTGGCATTTGCCAAACGACTGTTCTTGCGTCATCGCTCCTCATCGCGACCGACAGTCGGTGTTTTTATCTTGTGTGCTGGTGTTGTGTGTTTTACCCCCTTGAATATCGGGACCTCGAATCACTGTAGACGTCGCTTGGTTTTGCGGATCGCTACAAATAGCTGCTGAACGCAGGTTTTTTTTTTCTTTCGGAAAAGAATAACACACTGACAGAGTGAAATAAGTGCATGTTTCGAACTCGCGTCACACGATTTTTATGAAGCAGTTTATAAGTGTATGCGAGAGTGGATTGCGTTTACCATTGTGTGCCTTCACCTGGCTGTTTTTCTTTTTTTAGTGTGATAGCTCGCCGAAGAATGACGCCATGAAAGCGATGGGCTGCTAAATGACAATATGAGTGCCCACGTCTCGTCTGAAAAACTGTGATATCTTCCGTGCATAGTGCCAGATAATTCTAAGTAATTCTTTTTGTTCATTTATTCGCCGAACTCTGCATGTTTGTCATTACGTTTCTAAAGGTCTAGAAAACTCGTGGATAATTTGGTTGCGAAACCAATGTTGCAGGTCTATGTGACGTGTCACGTCAGGTTTTTCATGTCGTGCTCGTCATCTAACTCATGCTATGTGTCATGCTTACCGAGATATTACAACCAATGAATTAAGTACAGCAGCATACTACTGTCATGTGTGCCATTTGCGTCATCCTATACAAACGACCAACACGTCGTTCATCACTCTATGCTTGCTTATTTTAAACAATGTGACTGAACATAAAAGAGTAGAGTACGCGAGCACACGCACGCACGCACACAACACACACTCACACACAACACACACACACACGCAGGCACACACACGCACACAACACACACTCACACACAACACACACACGCACGCACACACACACACACACACACACACACACACACACGCGCGCGCGCACACACACACAACACACCCACTCACACACAACACACACACGCACGCACGCACGCGCACACACACAACACACACGCACACACAACACACACACACAACACACACCCAACACACACACACAACACACAACACACACCCAACACACACACACAACACACACACACACGCACGCACACACCCAACACACACACACATACTCACACACAACACACACACGCACGCACGTACGCACACACACGCACGCACGTACGCACACACACATACACACACACACACTCACACACAACACACACACGCTCGCACGTACGCACACACACGTACGCACACACGCACACACACACACACAAAACACACACACACGCACACACACTCACACACAACGCCCACACACACACACTCACACACAACACACACACGCACGCACGTACGCACACGCGCGCGAATAGCGCTGGCAATTAAATCATCCGTTTCGCATTAACGCGTGTCATAACAAGCATGACGGACCAGCATGTCATGTGAATTTTGTGATGACCTGTCAACAATGTTCATCATATCGTACCCTTGTGCCCTCCAATGTCGAATCTCGTCTCAATCAATGATTGATTGATTGATTTGTGGGGTTTAACGTCCCAAAACCACCATATGATTATGAGAGACGCCGTAGTGGAGGGCACCGGAAATTTCGACCACCTGGGGTTCTTTGACGTGCACCCAAATCTGAGCACACGGGCCTACAACATTTCCGCCTCCATCGGAAATTCAGCCGCCACAGCCGGGAATCGAACCCGTGACCTGCGGGTCAGCAGCCGAGTACCTTAGCCGCTAGACCACCGCGGCGGGGTTCGTCTCAACCAAGTGAAGGCAATGGCAACGAGAACATACATACATACATACATACATACATACATACATACATACATACATACATACATAGATACATAGATAGATAGATAGATAGATAGATAGATAGATAGATAGATAGATAATAGATAGATAGATAGATAGATAGATAGATAGATAGATAGATAGATAGATAGATAGATAGATAGATAGAAATCACTGTCCAAGCATTCCGTACAAATAGTTAACCAGTGAAAGCTAAAACGTGTGGCTCTAGTGTTAAGTACTGGGTTCCACCCGACGTGGCACTGAAGCCTTTCACAATTATTGGTTACACTTTCGTGCTTGTTAATCAGGTTAGACACACGTTTGACTTGGGTTTATTACAGTGTTTATTTCACACGCCACACATTGCGCCCGGTATTATCACGGTCATGGAGTGTAATGAGCGGTTGAATGCGTTCGGCAATGCGTTCATTTGTAGTGGTTGTTCTGGAACCACAGGCGTTCACAGATGTCGCAGCCGAAGCCAATGCGCCGCTGGAGAAAGTCCCGCCGAAAGCGGGCTTCCGCGTCCCGGTGAACGCATTCCCGCAATCGGCACGTTGACGCCGCAACCACGTCGCAAGCGTTTCACGTAGCGATAAACTCGGCGGCTTGGTTTGCAGGATTCGCCCGCCACTGGCGCCTGCATTCACATCAGCGACTTAGCGCGGCTTGGAAGATTGCCGGATCATCGGTACGCAATTGCTGCCGGCTCCCGAGTGTGTTTTGTGACCAGACTGCACCATCAGCCTGGTAAATGTGAGTTAACACGTTTCCACTTTCGGCGCTCTTCTAAAGTTGTCCGTGGCATACCCATGTGGAAGGTTTCAGGATAAACTGCAGTGTGGCGCGCGTGCTCGGTGCTACGGCTGCGACGAGATTCATGACGTCACCCCCAACGCAGCCAATGGCGTGCGTTCTTGGTACGACGCTGCGAACGACGCAACTTTTAACACAGCCAATGGTGACCGCTCGTGACACCGCTTCCCGATGGATTTTCCGATTTCTCCTAGCCGCATACAACTCCCGCTGTAAAAAAAAGAAAAAAAGGGAACAAACCTTATAACAGATTTCTCGGGGTTGTTTGCGCAGGCCCGAGTTCGTGAAAATGGATCAGCGACGACTCCCAACGGAGAACCTAGGCCAAGCGGGGAAAACGTAAGCGTTTCTCGTCCTTTCCGTGAGTGCGAAGTACGTCGTGTCGTAAGCGCATACATGATGACCTGAAACCTTCATGTATGCCACTGCCATTGCATACGTCATCAGGACGTGTAGACGTGTATACATGTGCGTCGGAAGCGGGGGCGTGGTGGGGAGAAGACTCCCTCCGAATCATTCCACCCCACCGTCACATGTGCCGTGACAGATTGACGTGACCAACGCTTCTTAGAAAAAGTATGCCTGGAACGTTGCTCTCTTTTCAATTGGGAGCCTCCTGCCAGCACGAAATCTCGGAGGACATGCCTCCTGTCTTGTGTTGCGACCAGCCGCCGCGTGAGACTGCTCGCCTCCGTACCGCTCTGTCACGTGACATCACGGCTGCTCGAAGACAACTGTGAGAGCATTGCCGTGTTCGCAGGGGCGGCCGTTGGAGACGCTTGCCTTCGTACCGAAGGAGGAGGGTAAAATCAGAGGGTAGGGCAGCGCGTTTGCGGCTCACGTTCCAGGCATAATTTTTTTTTAGGAGGCGTTGACGTGACACTTCCGACAAGGTAAAACAATGCGGCATGTCCAGCCCCACACTGATTCGTAGAAAATCCCTCTCAACCGCGTGTGGGATCTGTTGGATCTTTTTTTTTTTTCGGTATACGTACATTTGATAAATGCCTCTAATAATAACTAGATACGTAACAGCGTTGCCAACCTAATGCATTGTCGAGAATCGGCGTTGCCCAAGTATATGGCGTAGCCACAACTGTTAGATAAGCACCAGAGTAATGGCCGTGTAGCGCAATACGCGCATTATCGTGAGTTCTGGGAGGAAAGGGTCTGAAGCCTCACGGATGTACGAAGCCGTTGCCCTAACCTGGGTCACGATATGTAGCAGCACATTCATGTGATTGTACCACGTATACTTCGCTGTAGAGCAAGATGCTCCTTCCGGTGAGACTGCGGGCCTGTTGCATTCGTCGCAGAATTGTAGGGCTGCAGCTAAACCCTGGACTAGCTATCCAGTTTGAAGTGCAACTATGTTCCACTTTTCCCCTCACTAACTGCACCACGAGCCCGCTCCACTGGGCAGGGGTGGATCTAGCCACTCATTTTAGGGTGAGGCGGTCGCCTGAAGTAACATTAGAAAGGGGGCGTTGTCATAACTTTTTCGTTTTTACCAGCAGAAAAAAACATTCATAGCACTAATATTGTTATCCTATTAGTCCTAATTGGTGATAGGATGCGGACTTCATGCACTGAAGTGAAGGGGAGGTGCTGACACAGACTTCTTTGGGGGCCCGTACCACATCCCCTGTGGATCTGCCACTACCTCTGGGATACTGAGTAGCCAGTTTTCGTGCCAGTTCAAATTGACGTTAACCCACTCATAATCTGGTAGCTGTGATTGGTGAGATGTAGCCGAAGCTCAGAAAGCAGGTCAAGTGTAGCTTTTATTTATTCTTGTATTGTAACAGTGTGCACGCAGCACGAAGTCTCCTCAATATCAGATATAGGGGCTTTGGATGATGAACGAGGCAATGTGAAGCTTGAAATATTTATACCACGTGGTTTGTGTTTTCCAACTGAACCAGATGTGTGAGAGCTACAACCAGTTTCCCTAATCGTGATACGAGATGCTACACGAGAATGAACGGAAGTGTGATAAACACACTGGAGTTTATCAATTCCGAAGCTCAGGCGAGTTCTAATTGATGCGCTTATTGCAAAGCCCACTTTTCTGAATGCCGTAAATAACTTGTTAGATCGTTAATTATTCTAAATTATAAGAGCGTACTGAGAATGAATTCCTTGGTGATAAGCCTATGTTGAAAAAATGGTGGCTTTGATGCAGACAGTTCGATAACTCTTAGAATTGAAGGTAATCATTAAAGTGAAACTGAATAGCAAAACGATTTTTCGCGTATTAGTAAAGTACAATTTGACAATTCCGAAAACACCACCGCGGTGCGTCCTTGTTTAACGAGAAAACGCGCGAAAATACGGGTGGACATGCTACCTTGAGATTTCCGCACCCAACACCGTGACGTCACATATATTCAAGGCGCTTACTGTGCTCTACGTAGCTACAAATCGATAAACATGAAGCACATTGTCTGCAATGAGTGCCATATAGACCTGGTATGGAAAGCTCCAGAAAACTTCATTGAAACTTGTGCCAAAACTACGAAAAATATATTCTGAAATTTTCGACGTTAGCGCAGAGATTCCGGCACGTCATTTAAAACTAAAACATTAACCTTGATTTTATGCGCTAATAATCAACTTATGTTAGTGAAACATGTAACATTAGAGTTCTCAAATTGCAGTTATAGTCAACCTAAGTCAAGTGATTGTTTCTCTTCAGTGTCCCTTTTGGAGGCTCCAAAAGTGGACCATTAGTGCCGTGGATTTCTAAATAAGCAAAGCTGCATGGTTGATATTGTGAGGGTCCCTTTTAATCAATGAACAATGAAGCTGCTGTTGTGTTATGTACAAATGTGTTGTAATCCAGTGTCCAACACTAATAACAGCGTGTTCTGTTGAAAGACCCACGCGGAAGTCGAACTGTGACACAGATGGTATGCTAAGTTTTGCGAAGTAACAAGGGATACAAATTTCGATTAATTTTTTCACTACTTTGCTGGAAAACGAGGGTATATAAATCAGCCTGTAATTTCGTATCATGCGAGGTCGCCTTTCTTTAGCGTTGGAATTACTTCAGTGATTTTAGGTATACCTGTGGTAAAAATTCAGTGGTAATATTTTATCACCAATTCTTGTGGTAAAAATTCAGTGGTAATTTTTACCACCAATTCCTGTGGTAAAAATTAAGTTGACCTACTCGGTTATGTGGTGGCTTCACTTGTTACGTGTTGCACGCCTCACTGCATGTACGATTAGTCCCACCTATGCTGTCGCCCCCCCCCCCCCCCCTTCCCGCTTCCCGCCTCGAGCAAATAGGAAACCTATGCGTCTGTGTGCGGTTCACCACCCTGAACGGCGATAGGAAGAAATCTACACTTCAAAGCCACAGCTATAAACGATTAGCGTCTAATGTGCGTCTTATCCGCGCCTTCCGCACGTATATGTTGGTGTAACAAACGTTGAAAGCTTTTGATGTTCACGAAGTTGTTAATGTAATTGATGCGGTTTCAGTTGCGGTTCAGAGTTACACGGCTCTCCATAGTCTCCATCGGAAATGCGGCCGCCGAGGTCGGTATTTGATCCCGTGACCTTCGGTTGAGCAGGCAGGCACCATACGCAACCACTAGATCACCGTGGCGGTTTCGGCCCGCCTTCGACCGAGTGAGGACGTCATGTGACGTCGTCATCATGTGAGCACACGTCACGTGATGTCACAATGGCGTTACTATGACGTCACCAATTCTGGCGCAACGCGACGCCACTGCGTGACTATTTTTCGCATCGCTCGTGTTGACGCCGACTCCACGGGATGCCGACGCTCAGTTCTCACGTTCGATCATGCATCTAAAACTTTCGGCACAATGTAGAGCTGCCTTTTGTTATGCCATCACTGAACGCCCATTGCGTCTGAGCCGACGCACGTCTACTTGGATCCGCCGACTCATCGCGCCAGAGACGTCCGCTGAGCAACACAGTTTCGGGGTTGGCGCCTTGAGGGACGAGCGAAGAAACCGTGTTTGGGTCGGACGGTTTTCGAGGTCACCGTCCCGACGGCGCCAATCTCCCCTTCTCCTTCGCGGCTTTCGCCACCGTCCCTTCCCCGGCGGGGAGTCTGTTGCCCCGCTTTTCCCGAAATACAAGGCCGCCGGCACACGGCGTCAACCGATCGATGGTACAGAAAGGCCAAGCGGGTGAGGAGGAGGCGCAGTCCTCGAAGCAGCGAGGGAGAGAGCGCGGACGCGTGCGCACACAAATGCGCTGTCGCCTGGATCGCCCTTTCTCCGCCGTTGCAACCGACGCAGTGTCCCGAATAGCCCCACCACAAGCATTTCCTTTGTCCGTCTGGGGACGCCGGAATGCAGTCTCGGTGCCGGAATCTGATAGAGCAGTTGTCCTTTGGGAATCGCAACAGCGGCATTACATTGAACAGATCTCAACCGCGAACAGTGTGGCCAATTGTTGCTATTTATCCAATAATAATAATAATAATAATAATAATAATAATAATAATAATAATAATAATAATAATAATAATAATAATAATAATAATTTAATATGAACGGCTTCTAAAATTTCGCCCGTGGAGTTCTCTAAGGCGCACTGGCTTCACAAAGTGCACGGCTCTTGGCAAAGCTTAGCAACGCTAACGTCCGGCTATTTATCGGACAGTAGGAAGAGAAGTAGCCGTGTCACTGCCGTACGTAACTTCGCGATGTTTCCACTTCTTTACTTGGATTTTTGGTTGTTTCTTTTTTAGAGGTGAGCGTGTATTCATTTTGGCTCCCAATGCATTATTATTTGTCTCTTCTCTGATTTCTGAACTTTATTTCTTCTTCTTTAGATATCATTCACATTATCACTCACCCTGCACATTATCACATAATAACGTTTCACCTGTTTGACAAGGCTATATGCTTCGCGGCTCTTTCTAATTTCTCCTCAAGGTCACTCTCAGTTTCTTTCTCTCTCTCTCTTCCTTTCTTGCTTTGGGTTGGCGCCAAATTGAGTTGTGGAGGCGCGAACGAAGCCTACATGCACGCGCAAGCGGAGAGAGTCTCCTTAGAAACCACTGACCTAAAATTTTAAACATGGCGTTTTGGGCACATTTGGGACGGCACTTTAAAAACACGGGTCAGGGCACTGCGCTGTTTAGGAGCCTCGAATCCAAAACGTCCGCTTCTGCAGTGCGACTGTGTCTGCACGAATAGCAGCTGTTTCCCCGTCATACGTATACTGCGCGTCTTTTGTCAGGCTGGCGAAATAGCGCTGTACGATACGCACCATTTGCGACGAGTACGTCGCGTGTACCATGTGGAGTATATTTCGTAATCACGCGAAAGGCAGCAACGTCACTATAAATA